GGGAGGCAGCCGCCACCCACCGTCCACCCTGCCCAGGGTGCAGGTGGCCCCCCGCTGCCCCTGAGAACACGTCCGCTTGTGGCCGGAACGTTTGTTTCCCTTTTCATTTCCCGAGTGTTCAGCAGGGGATGCGTTTGAACAGGAGGCAGCATCCCGAACGGAACATGACAGGTGAATCTCTAACCAAGAGAGAAACCACTGAGAGAATGTAACTTCAAATAAAACGGAGAACATGTGTGTTGCAGTTTCACGCCCACAGACCATGCGCCACGGGTCCCTGTCCCCGCCATGGACGTCCAGACACGCCGGAAGCATATCCCCAAGCGACCTCAGCTTCTCGAGGTTTTCACTCAAGAGGTGGCCAGAAGTGAATGAATTTACCCGAAAGGGAGTGCTTGGGTCCCCAAGGCAGAATCTTTTAGGAGTCGAGAGCCAGGCGGGAGGTGGGAAGGAACAAAAATACTTCCTAAGGTCGGCGTCCCCAAGGACAAAGGCAGAGCCCGCCAGGTGACGGGGTGGCCGGTGGCCGAGTGGTGAGGTCAGAGAGCGCCCCCGCGGGAGGGGGCAGAGGACTCAGGAGGTCCCGCACCCTGGCCGCTTACCCACCAGGACAGGGTTCCCGGTGCCCCCCAAGCAAACGTTTCCAGTGCAAATGTGCGCCTATAGACTAGGGCGCCGGGTGGGGGTCCGCTTCGTCTGGGTGGCACAGGGAGGCCCGTTTCCTTCCAGAGTAGACTTCTGTTCCGGGTTGTGATGTACCTGAATCGGGCCTGTCTCTCTTTTGGGGACTGTCCACTTACATCTGATGGAGGGGGTCAGCCGCCGAGAGCCATTCCCCACGGACTGAGGTCCCCCGGCTCCAGGTGCCGTCCCTTTCCCATGGCGACGTGGGCACCACGGCCCCCGCGCTCTGCAGCCGGCAGGCTGGGTCAGAGCCCTCGGCTGGTCTTTTCAAGTCCGAGTCCCAGGGCTGGGGGAGCTGGGGTTTGTGTGTCTGCCGGCCGCACAGTGGGTGTGGACCAGACCCCCGTTCGGGTACCTGACAAACGTGGGCTCACAGAAGGGGTTCTGGCACATCTGGCAAAGCTTTTTGTCTGAGAGCCGAACGGAGCTTCCCTTCAGTTTCATCTGTGAAAAGAAAGAAAGATGGGACACCTGTCACGTGAGTGACACTGGTTTTCAGAGCTGTTACCGCTTCTGATGGGGCTGTTTTGATACTGACCTCTCGAAATAGGCCCTAA